GTGGGAACATCAAAACCGCAGCACCGATCCTGACAGGGAAGAGAGTGCTGCCTGTTACAGGGACAGGCCGCGGGGCAGCGTGGCTGGAGGAAAGGAAGCCTCGTGGATAAAAGGTGTACCATGCAATTGGAGAGTGTGTGGGGCCTTCACTCTCTCCAGTCTCCACTCTTGTTTTAAGGAATAAACAAAGCTCAGATGTCATTCTAAAAATCTGATTCTTTTTATCAACACAGAGACACACTGATACTGGATGTGGATAAAAAATAACTTGAAATCATTTTGGAACACAGCAATGTTAAATTTATAAAATTTCATTTATTAAGTAAAATTTCCTATTGTTTATGAAAATAATAGGTAGTACTTTTAATAATAAGATTTTGCTGCCCAATCTTCTAAATGCAAATTTAGAAGTTCATAAAAGTAAACTCTCCTTCTTCCATTCAGCCCATTACTCAAATCAACTCACCAACTCCTCTCTTTTCAGAAGAAATTCTTACAGTGCTGGTTGTAGAAGCACTCTTATTAAAAGTCACCATGTTTACCCAATTTATTTCTAAGTTAAAAATACTATAAAGATCAAAATATTCATGTTAAGTCAACTTTTAAGAAATCTACCAGTTTTTGACAAAAATGCATGGAAACTTTTAAAGAATAGCTATCACAGAAAAACTGCTGAGGAAAATAATGAAAAACCAGATCATATTTGAGAGCCCATTTCTATTAATTATTCACAAATAGTCATAATATATAATTGCTTTAATTTTTTTTATATAACTGATAAGGGTGATTTTTCTTCTATTTATAAGTAAGTTTTATGCAAGTAGAGCATAACACGGATAAGGGTTTGGCAACCTTGTAAAGGACCAGATGGTAAATATTTTCAGCTTTTTAGGGCATATAGTCTCTATAACAACTATTCAGCTCTGCCATGATGATGAGAAAGCAGCACAGACAACACAAATGAATGACTATGGCTGTGTTCCAATACAACCTTATTTATGGACACTGAAGTATGAATTTCATATAATGTGGATGTATCACCAAATGGTCTTCTTTTTTGATTCTTGAAACATTTAAAAATGTAAAAGGCATTCTTACCTTGTTGGCTGTATAAAAACAGGCGCCCGGCTGGGTTTGGCCCATGGTCCAGAGTTTGTGGACCCCTGTGCATTACTGTGTGTCGTACCCTACCCCCAGCTGAGGGAGGGCTCATATTATTGTTGATCTTATTCACTTGCTACCATGAGTGGGAAAGAACAAAGTAGCTTTACAACTCCTGGTTGTAATTGCTTCTGCCCTCAAAGCTATTTACAACCTGGGTTGTCCACATATATGTCCAGGGAGCTTTATCTACCATATTGGAATGCAGAAAAAAATTCAGACCTTCTAGCCTAGGAATAAAACACAGACTTCTTAGGGTAGAATATGGACTTCTCTCTTTTAAACTTTTCCTTCCATTTTCCACACAGAGCCAAAGCAACAGCATATGGCTCTCTCAAGATTCCTCACTGACTAGAGCCTGTCTTCTCCCCGCGAGTGCCCCATTCCCACCTCTGGCACTCGGGTCCTGTAACCCACCACATTCCACTTTTCTTGTCCTTTAAGTGATCAGGAGTACAGCCCTTTCTCTCTCCCCGCATTGAGCTGAGCATATCCCCCCATGTTCCTCTGGTACCTTATCCTGGGAAATGTGTAGAATGTTTGGGGATTACTCAGTTTACAGTGTACAGACACGCTTGTAAGGAACTTAACAGACATTTTCCCCGAATTGACAACAATCCTAAAAGTTTACATGGCTATATCAATAATGGGAAGCGAAGCTGGAAGAAAACAAAGAGACTTTTTTTCTATACTACCAGAAAAGGTTATTATGCTAAAGGAAAGACTAAGTTTTATCTCTGTATTCTCTTTACAGATAATAGTGTAGAATTTTTATAGAAGAGGTAAGCAAAGATTATGCAGGCAAATTTTTAGAAAGAAAAGTAGTAGAAAGGTATGTCAGTTAATGTTACATTGCTTTTCTAAGTTTTATATTATTTATCACACTTGTTATATTTTTAAAAAATATGACTTCTTTTGATTTATATTCTCATTTTAAATTCACTTTTGTACCCAGTTTTTTTTTCAAGATTTTGTATTCTTTGTCAAAATAAGAACTCCCAAACTGTGTGAACTTCAGGCCTAAAAATTGTTCATCTCTGCTCATAATCACATAAATGATCAATTTGGCTTAAAGTTTTACTAATTTTATTTAAAAAACTAGTGATACATCTGTGGCATAAGTTAAATTTGGAAATTTTGAGTTCAAAATAATTGAAAGATGTGTAAGCATGGGTGGGTGTTTTATATGTTACCTCACTAAGTAACTAATCTAAAATAAGAATTTAAACACACTGTATCCTATGACAGCTTGTTGTAAGCTTTTGTGACTGGTTTTTATTCTTGAAAATTTTGGACTAAGTGGGTGATAATTACATAATTATTCAAATTATCAATAGAAGCAACAAATTAAAGGAGACAGTTCCTGGAATAAGTTTATATATTGTAAGTATAGAACTTAAGTGGATGAATTCTAAGTAGAATGCTAAGGGCAGTCAGCCTAATCCATCGGGGGAGCAAAGGGCTAATGTAGTGTGAAGGGGAAGAAAAATCAGGTAATAGTCCCTTCCTATGAAATTGAAGGGCTTTTATTGCTGTTTGGCAGTAAGACATCTCCAGTAATAAAAGTATTCTGCTATGTTAATATGTTGATATATTTTATACTTCTACTTTTTAATTTCTTGAGCTCCGTATCTTTTTAAAAATCCTTTAAATAGGGTTCCCTCAGCTTCCTTTGTGTACCCTAATGCGTCTCTGAAAAATGGTATCATAGGAAACATCCATTAGAAATGAGGGTTCAGGCCCCTTAGCCAGCTAAGCAGGTGAGAGCCTAGAGGTGCGCTGTATCAGCACCTTCCGACTGAGTAGAAATACACCACAAATTTGTCTTTTAACTGTTCTAAGCATCATGTTATGGAGAGGACACAGGCTAAGCACAAGCAGTGGTAAAGGAATTGCGGTAAGTCTCCTGACAGCATGATGGTTACCGCACCAGCCAGCTTCGCGGGGCAGGCGGGGGCGGCGGGGGAGGGGAGGCCGGCGGGGGGTGGCTGTGCCTGCCACCCAGGGTCCTTGCAGTCAGCGCTGGGGCTCCTGCAGGGAGAGAGTAAGGCCGAACGGTGCAGAAGAGAGGGTATGTTCTGAGTACTAAAAAAAAAGAAGGTGCAGGTAGCTTTTTAAGATCCAAGATATTTTATGCAAACAAATAAGAAGACAATAAAAATGTAGTATTAGAAATGAATTTGTTGCATAAAAATTTGGAAAATCACCATATTGAAATCTTATACCTCACTGGACATCTGAAGCCCCAATATTTATAAGAATATCACTGCATTTTAATATACTAATAAAATAATTCTTGATATCTATGTTATCTCTCAAATCTTAAATGAAAAAAATGTTAAAACCATCTGCCTTGTACATTGATTTTAGAATTCTTTAATTCTTTGTGACTTCAATTTTTTGATGTAAAGTAACATTTGCTTTTATTCATTTTGGCTTTCTATACTATTGGTGTTTAATCTGGACAAAAATTCTGTGATATAATAGAGAAGAGAGTTCTGTAAATGCATTACTCCTTTAATTCAAAACACTATTCACATAAAAATGTGATGACAACCAGGGCAACTATAGAGGAGCAGGCCCCGTGTCTTAACCTTTAGAGGATCTGAAAGGAGTTAGACACAAAGATTTGCTCACTCTAAGTTGAATATGAGTGTACCAATTAAAGAAGTACCCCAATATGTTCATAATTTTATTAGGATACTTTCAAGAAACAAACTCATTTAAGGTAGAGCCATGAAAAAAAAATGCCTCCTGGAGACTTGCTGGAAGGTAGAGGCGTCTAGCAAAAACAGTGGATTAGCTGAACATCCAGGTCTAGGCAAGGCAGGAACCAGGTCGATTCAAAGGGGCTTCATCGGCAGGAAGGTGGCCATTCTTGCTAGTTCTCTGCCACTAATGTGACTTATTCCATTTGCATATGCCAGTTTCTTTCCATTCCGCTCCCAGGTGACTTGGTCCCCAAAGTCCCAAAGAAATATTTGATTGGCTCTCTGCCTACGCTATGGATTGGTTGTTCCTGTGGGGTTAGACGCAGGCAGCTGTCTGATGCAGGTCTCTTGATGTGCTGCTGGACCGCCTCGCTAGGAGAGGGAGTTGGCCATAGTAGGTGACTGGTATATTGAATAAGCGCTTGACAAACAAACTCATAAAAGGAAGCTGTTCTGTGTGTTCTTTTCATGGAAGGGATGGGATTTATATCACATTTTAGAGGCTGGGTGGGATTTACATGTCAAGAGCAAATAGATGAAGAAGGGGAGTCCTGGCCAGTGGAGCAGCTTGAGCCAAGTTGTGCAGGTTTACGCCTGGCCTGTGGGCAGATCAGTCTGGCTCAGAGATCCTCAGAGTGGTCACCCTAAATCGCCTGAGCAACCCCACTCAATGCCTGGCCTCCAACCCAGATGGATGGAAACAATCCTTGGGGATCTTTAGCAGTTTTGAAAAGTTTCCCAAATAATTTTGATGCAGAGGTGTTTGAGCCCTGGACAGTTAGAATTTGTGAAATAGGGTTGGAAAAGAACGTTAGAACAAGACTGTGGCAGCTTTCTCTGCCAGGCTAAGGAGTGTCTGGATTGTATCCTGCAAGGAAGGAGGAGCCACCAAGTTGTACATTTTATTGGTTTCCATCTTTTTCTGAGCCCAGTGTCGTTGTGTCTGTTCGGATTCCTTTCAGGGAAGTGGACGGAGGGGAATTAGCTGTGTGTCGCAGCCCTTGTGCTCATTGGGAATGGGATTTATTAACTGCTTCTCCTCTGTAAGAGCAGATGTACTAATTCCAGGTTTCTTTTTCTACGGAAAATATATTGAAGTTTTTGTAACAATGTTTTTTTTCTCTTTAGGGGAGTTGGCTGCATCTTTGTTGAAATGATCCAAGGAGTTGCTGCTTTTCCAGGGATGAAAGACATTCAGGATCAACTAGAACGGATATTTCTGGTAAGTTCTTTACAGAATGCTTTTGATAAAAATTGGTTTCTAATTTCTCCTTTCATGACACGTTCCACAGTGGTAGTGGAAAATAATGTTAAACAAATTTATTGGTTGTCACATTTAATTCTAACTTATTTTTGGACCTTTGAAAAAGCAAGAAATTAGTTAACGATTATTATGTTTTTAAACTACTGCACATTAATAATATGCCAAAATGGTAAGAAAGGATGTCAGAAGCAATATAGAATAGTGGGTAAAAATGAGAGCTCTGTCAGAAGAAAAATTGCAGAATTATTTATATAGATATCCCTTCTTCAAATAGGTGTGGCTTAACTCCCTCCCATCTCCACCCACTTAAATGTGGGCTTTGATCAGTAACATTTTTCCCCCGTAAAGTAGAGCATCCAAAGAGGGCGGAGTGGGGGCGCTGTGGTAGGAGAAGACAGTAACTTTAAAATGGACAAACCAGGCAAACAACGCCTCAGCCATATCTTCAGGGTGATCGTCATCAATACCCTTGATACGGTGTATTGAGAGTGATACTTCACTTCTGTGATCTTTCTCTCAAAACCATAGCTGCAGTGTAATCGTGGAAAACACACCACACCCACCACACACCCCCCACCGGAAGGACAGTCTTCACAATACTGAACTAGTACTCTAAAATTGTCAAGGTCATCAGAAACAAAGACAATCTGAGAAACTGTCATAGCCCAGAGGAGGCTCCAAAGACAGGACAACTCAATGTAATGCGGGACCCTGGATGGAATCCTGGAACAGAAAAAGAACGTTAGGAAAAAAACTAGTGAAATCCAAGTAGAGTGTGTAGTTTAGTTAATATCAGGATACCAATGTGTGTTTCTCGGTTATGACAAATGTTCCATGTAATGTCAGATTTTTAACAGTAAGGGAAACTAGTGAGGGTATACAGGAACTCCCTGTACTATTTTTTATAACTTGTCTAAAACTATTCTAAAACTTAAAATATTAAAAAATTTTAAATATGCAAAAAATAAAAGTAAAATGTGTCCTAGAGCTAGATCTGGTTTTATCACCTGCTCTGTCACTTCGAGCAAGGGATGTGGCTTTTTGAGCCTTAGTTTTCCCATGGGGGAAATGAGGGATAATAGTAACACCTATCTTAGAGGTTGTTTTAAGGAATAATTGACATAATATACATACAGTCCTTTTAGAACTATGCCTGACACAACAAAGACCCTGTTGATTAGCTGTCTGGGAGATGTACCGTTGATGTCAATGGAGTGTTAAAGTCCCCTGTTGTGACTGTTTTCTTGTGACTGTGTCCTTCTCTTCCTTTTTGTCCATCAATATTTGCTTTTTATACGTGGGTGTTCCTATGTTGGAGTATAAATGTTTACAAGGATTATATCTTCTTGCTGTATTGATCACTTTATCATTATGTAATATCTTTCTTTGACCCTTATTATAGCCTTTGTTTTAAAATCTATTTTTTCTGGTATAAGTATTGCTACTGTTACTGAACAAAGGACCCGTGACAGGGATGCCCAGATGCTATTACCGAAACCACGACACCCTCCTTCCCCGAGATCCCTCGGTTGTGGGTCCTTTGCCCACTGCCCTTGGAATTATGGCTCTGAATGACAGGGTTTGGTGAAAAGGAAAGGAACTATTTATTCAAAAGTTATACAGGTTTGATTAATGGCTAAATGTCCCCCTTAAACCTCAGAATCCCTTTAAAACAATCACTGTCACACACACTGTCCTGCCTTCCCCCTCTTTGCCCAGTTAGGCCAGTCAGGCCAGTCAGCGTACCGTCCTTCAGAAGAAAAAGAACAGAAGTCCGGGGATCGGCTAGTCAGGCCTCTCGCGGGTCTCAGCACCATCCACTGCATCGCCGCGATCTCCAGCTCTTAATCCATAACCATGTGGCACCTCCTCATGGCCCACTAGCAAGAGTCCTTTCTCCCCTCTTTCTTCCTGCATGGTCTTCACGCTCTTCCCCAGAGTCTGTGTCCCTTAGTCTCTCCTGCAGGCCCCAGTCTCTTCTCTTCCTCTCCCAGTTACATCCTGTATTAAGTCTTTGAAATCTTCCTTATTAGATTTGGTGATGTGCAAAATAACCCTCTTTGCATATGAGGAATGAAGCTATCCTGTTATTGACATGCAAAATGACTCTCAATGGCCCTGCTTAAGTCTCCTATCCCCCAGGGCAGCCCGCCCTGGAGTGAGGAGAATATATTTTTCCTGGACACCCCAATCTCTGGACCCCGTCACACATAGCCTTTGGGGGGGCCCTGGCTGTGCCCTGTTATACTACTCCAGCTTTTTCTCTCTTTCCATTTTTATGAAATATCTTTTTTCCATCCCTTTACTTTGTCTGTGTGACTTCTCATCTGAAGCGGGTCTCTTCTAAACAGCATATAAGGCATGGTGGAGGGGCAAACCAACACATACGGGGCAAAAGTAGGTTTACGGTTGTTCATATGGAAAATAATACAATAATTAATGAATAATAATATAAGAATAAACTGTGTTTTGCATACTCACAACTGTAAACCTACTTTTGCCCAGTGTCTATACAGGTCTTGGTTTGTAGCCAGTTCTTCTCAATTCTACTTATTATTCATAAATTCTCACACAGAATAATAAAATAATGTTTTATGTTTATAAGAATAATGCATCTTTATAATGGAAGATTCCCACAATATTAAAAAGTATAAAAATTGAAAAATTACCTTTTGTTCTACTATCCAGAGGAAATCATATTTAGTACTTTGATGTATATCATCCATTTCTACACATGCTAAGAAAATTGAATCATATCCTGTGTACTGGTTTGTAACTTATTTTTCTTAACAATGTGTATTTAATATCTTTCACTGAAAAATAAATCTAGAAGCATTATTCTTAATGACAGGAGAGTGTTTTATTGTATGGATGAGATATTATTTGCATATTTGTTTAAAGAATTATAAGGTGCTGCCAGAAACATCCTTTGTACAGTTATCCTATTACTTAAGAATTAACACTCTCGTTTCCCTTCAGAGTGAATAAATCTTTTGCCTCTTAAGAATTATTAGAATTGAAAGTTCTTAATTTAATAAATTTAATTTTCATAAATCTATTTACACATCCATCCTTTTATCTAAACTCAAGGAACAATTCCTTCTCCCTGTTCTCAAGAAAATCTCTTACTGATTTCACTGAGATTGTATTGAGCCTATAAATTAAATTAGGAAGAAATGATACAAAATTGAGCTTTTCTATCAAAGAATAAATTATATTCCTTTATTCATATTTTATGGCTGTTAGCATAAATGTACTGTTTTTATAAACATACTTTCTTTTGCTTTTTTCTATTCCACTATTTTCATTCAATTATTTAAAAAAACTTTTCTCCAGTTATTTTCTTAAAAATATAATAAACTCATTCATATACTGTATCATTGAAAAATAATAGAAGAGGAAATTTTAATGTTTGCATCACAGATTATGCTATATCTTTAAATATTTAGCTTTTTAATTTAATTAAAGCTCTCGATAATCATACCACTTAATATTCTGAGAATAATTTTTAAAATTTTAGATTCTACTTAACTATTCACACTCTGACAGCTTTGAACAATACTTATATAACCTTATCAAATTACTGATATGTATGCTAAAAGCATGAATTTACTATATTTGAAATCAGAAAATTTCAAGAGGGAATCATATAGAAAGATGTATCTTCACTTATACATTATTTCAGAGTGAATTCAAAAGAAAAGGAACTGGTTATACCAGAAATGAAGTATATTCTATAGCAATAGAAAAAAATGAGTTCTATGAAATAATAGTTTATTGATGTTGCTTGGTCAAAGTTTTAGTTTTAAATATCTTTTTACAGTATAAGTAATTTCTAGTAGGTAATATCATAAAGTGATATGATACTTTCAGAAAGTAGGGTTACTGTCTGTATGAAGACTTTGCTATAATTTCTTAATTTTATGGCAATAGTTTCCTAATTTTATGGGTATTCAGAGGCCTTTGATTTATGACTAGGCTTTTAATAAATCAAAGAAATAAATCATTATAAATTTCCCATGGCAATATTGATATCCTAAACTACTGTTTGCTCTTGTTAGAGCACAGAGACCCTTAAATGCAGATAAGCATCATGATTGATGGTAATAACTCTCTCTCACTGTACTTATTATACGTGTAGTGCTTTCTACAAGTAAAATGTCCTTTGGTAATTAGGAGATAAATATCGTCATCTAAAATTGATGCTGTAGAGTTAAAATGTTATGTTTACCCTGAAGAATTACACATGATCAAAAAAGGAAATCTACAGACTTTTGACAGTAAATGTTATCTTACATATTTAATTTCCTCCACTGAATTGTTTAAATTTGCAAATGCCAGCTGTGTGTCTTGTCCTACAAGCATACTCTCTCCAGAGTCATGTGATCACCGGAGAAAGACATTCTACTAACCCAGTAGGATTGGATCACTAGGAAAAATGCTTTTCCTTGGCTACCTTTTATATCTTGTCTAAAGAGGAATGACTAGTAAAGTGTAATTAAATCCACTTTCACTATATCCTATATACTAAATCCAATCCTTTCTCTAAATCCTATAAACTGCCAGAGACTGTGTTTTAAGCAGCAGCCATATGTCAGGTCTCTGGTGAAACTTTGCCAAGGAGATAACCGACTTTGAGAAGCAGCAAAACATGGGATTATTTTGGTTTATTTTGTATTTTAATACAAAGATTAAGTCCGTTTATTCACCTGTGAACTGTATATAGAAAGGTGGTTAATAACTTTGAAGTACGAAATTAATAGCATGTTACCCAAGGTAACTAATATAATTAACTCCCCCATACTGAGTCTTCATAACAAATGTGAAAAGCAACAAAGATCAGTCAGTAAAGCCTTAATAGTTTTCTCTTGATGGTTTTCTCTTTGTTTCTTTTTTATTTTTCTCTGATTTGGTGGAAAAGAGTTCACAGTTTTAACAAGTCCAATGAATTCATTTCC